AGAATAGAATAGAATAGAATAGAATAGAATAGAATAGAATAGAATAGGTCGGAAGGGACCTTGGAGGTCTTCTAGTCCAACCCCCTGCTTAGGCAGGAAACTATACCATTTCAGACAGATTGGAGCAGTTGTCAACTCACTTTTTCAGTGCCGTTGTAATTTCAAAACAACCAGTTGCTATACAAATGTTTTTAGCTGAGAACTTTCTGTACTTTTTTGGTGCAAAGCTCAGGGCATAACGGACATTTCCTGGAGGAAGTGAGCACAGATCCTGTATTCCCAATATGACATTTCCTGACCCAGATATATATTTTTTATTTTTAATATAATAATTCCATTTTCAGTTGAACAGTGTGTTGTCTGGGGACAAGTATCTTTGTTCAACAGTAATCAAAATTTGCAACATCACTCATTACATTGGTATTAATTCTACAATATTAAAGTAGTAATATTCAACATACTGATCATAGTATTTGCTTATGTCTTTTAACATATCTTCTTTATTTTGTTTGCCTGTTTGCCTGTTTTTAATTTACATTTTTGTTGTTTAACCATTGATTAAATAAATCCCATGTCATATAATATTCAGTTTGCTCTTTCTCCTTAATTGCAAGCGTTAGTCTGTTCATTTCTGCACATATAGGAATGTCTGTTCATTTCTACACATGTAGGAATCTCTTCACTCTTCCAGCTGACCCAAATATTATTGTGTGTTGCCAGAACCACTGGTCAGAGACTTAACTAGGATAGTGGCACAATGCATTTAAGAGAATTGTGTGAATAGGGTTAAAGCTATTTAATCCTAAAAAGGCAGGGACAAGCTCAGAAATCATGGTTAAATCCAGCTTCATCATACCTGCCCCATTGATTCTGAACCATAATTCCTTCCTTCCCTCACTGTCTTCCTTCCTTCCTTCCTTCCTTCCTTCCTTCCTTCCTTCCTTCCTTTCCTTCCTTCCTTCCTTCCTTCCTCCCTCCCTCCCTCCCTCTTTCCCTCCCTCCCTGCTTAGATCTCCTATGACATATTTCAATATATACGTGTTAGGGATAACATTGGTTACCTAACTTAGTTTGGATAAAAATAATATATATAAACTATGTTAGTGAGTTTAAGTGTTTGTATCACTTTAAACTGTAAACCAAGTTTTTGGGTGCGGTTGTAAAATCACCATAAGAGGGAGCAAGAGAGCTCACTGTTTCCCTGGCTTATACTGGATTGCTGACAATGATGAATTGATGGTGATAACTGCGTGTTTGCTGAGAGAAGAAAAGGGGTTTGATTTTTTCTTCATATCTCTGACTGCAAAAGAGATATATCACTGGACTGATTGATTGTAAGTTTAATGAACTCTTTTTCTACACTGGACTTTGCAAACTGAATAACCCCCGGAATGACTGAACTTAGTGTATGACATATGGACCGTTTTGACTATGCTATAACTCTTGCTGGAATAAAAACTATTTAACTTGCACAGTGTATCTGTCTTACTGAGTGTAAGCTACTACAACGTTTTGTCTCACATATCTGCCTGTCTGCTAGACTGCCGTTGCACATTCTGCTAGGGTGTATATCCCTAACAATACGTATAGTACAGCACTGAATATTTTTGTTTCGAACACAATTTTCCACCACTTCACCCTCTTCCCACTACATCATCCTTGTAGAATTTGACTTCTCTGGTTAAAAGGAAATATTGGGCTCCTCCACCCCCTGAAACTCTGGCCTGCCTGCCTGCTTGCAATTTTGACCTGATACCACACAGCTACGAAGAAGGCTAAGTCAAAAAACCAGGTAGCTCACAGCCTCTGAACTGACAAGCCCAACATTTCATCCGCAAGGGTGCTACACCGTGAGGGAGGCCTGCTTTGCAGTAGGCCACCTCGGTCTTTAGGTAATTCTTCCCTCTCCTGATTTTCTTGTCCCAGAGGGAAAAGTCAATTATAAACAACCATCGTATTTTAAAAGAGAGAAAGAAGCAGCTTTAGAAAGTCACCTCCCACCCACTGTTTCAGACATTGATCCTTCAACAGAATTCTGCACCAGGGAAGCAAATGCTTTCTTCTCTATAAAAAAATTTTTTCCCCCAAGACTGGGCTGTAAAAATACAGCTCCTTATGTCAAGATTTCCCCCATGTTTTTCTGCTAGGAATCTCTGCTGCTAGAATAGCTACTTCTTCTTTTTTAGAGCAAGATTTTCTTACTGCAGGGGTGTCAAACTGGCAACCCGCTGGCGAGATGCCTCACACGCAGGCCGTGCCCAACCCAGCTCCAAGGGGAAAAACGTTGCAAAACATCACCTGACAGTAACGTGACACCACGAGTTTGACACCTGTATCTTACTGTAACATCACAATAAAATATGAGTTTATAGTCCTGGTTGGCGCTTGTCAAGAATACCTCAAAGGGCTGACATCGATCTTGTAAATCTGCAAGTACACGTCTCCCCTTTATAGTCCAAGAATTAGGGAAGGTCCTTCTGAGTGGTTTGCCAGATCCTCATCCCTTCTGCAGACTAAACTGCCATCTGACCTTTATTCAGTCTTCATCTCCTGCTACTGCCACATGTCTCTCAAGGATATGCTCACAGACCTTACAACAAATGATTAGAGGAGTGCCTTTGCACCATCACAATAGAGATG